CAGCACTGCGGTAACACTGACGTGGTGGTGGTGTGTTAGTGTGTGTTGCGCTGGTCTGAGTGGATCAGACACAGCAGTGCTGCTGGAATATAGTCCACCAACCAAAAATATCCAGCTCAACCATGGAAACCCATTTCATGAAGCTCCCGATGCGCAGTTCTTGTACTGATGTTGCTTCCAGAGGCTTTTCATAAGTCTGTGTTGAAAGATTTAACAGAGGATAGTTTTTATGCACTGTGTCCTTCAACACTTGACTTTGCGTGGTCTGGGCTTCAGGGCTGACCTGTTGTTGCTCCTAGACACTTCCATTTCACAATAATAGCACTTACAGTGGACCGGGGCAGATCTAGATGGGGAGAAACACCTTAACGCAATAATTAGGAGGGCTGTCCACATACTTAAGTGTATGTCGTTAATTTTAAAGGTGATTTTGGTAGAAAACTCAACAGTGATGTAGCGGGATTGTCACTAAAATGGTGTACTGTAATGTCTGCCGTTTGTGGTGAATTAATTGTAATGTTTATTTTAACCATAATAGACTTTAATGGTTGCCTCTAGTTGCTACCTGTGTCTGGTAGACTTATTGACTCTCCAGCTATAGTATGCAAACACACACTACGATATCTCTGCTGTTGATGCAGGATTAGCTTGCATTGTATCTAATATTGCTGTTATATTCAGTAGCATAGCAAACATCAGAAGAAGCTTGAGTCTGTCAGCACATGTGGTTGTTAAATGAGTCTCAGGATTTAATGCTGTTTCTTCTCTTTCCTTCTAGTGAGGCTCTTACACATAGGGGATTAGCAGGCTTATATAGTTTAGGATGCAGAGATTTCACAAAACAGCAGTCATATTAAAGGGCATCTGAAGCTGTCAGTAGGGAGCCACACTGCTGAAGGTGTTCAGGAAGAAAATGTAGACTGTCATTCTGGCATTATTTGTAAATGTAGGGTCTTTGGTTTTGGAGATGCTAATTGCTTTGAATCTCTACAGCCAAACAAATACACACCCTCTCCTCAGTTTTCCCTCCAAAGCCTTCCCCTCAGGGTACATGCACTGCCTAGGCTAGAGTGTCTGATTGCTGATGCCAAAGAAGTTGTTTGGCTGTTGCACTTTAATAGCTTCAGATGTGATGTGCAAAAAAATAGCAGATATAGAGCAAAGACTGCATCAGTTTTCGTTGCTGGAAAGCCACACCAGTGTTCAATTGTCTTTACTATAGATGAGTCGTTTTCTTTTACTCGGTTTGTTTAGCTTTGTCAAAGCTCCATGTGTCAAACACAAGACCAGATCAGGCCCGTGGCACAATCTGATCCGGCCCTCGAAATGATTTTGATTTTCTATTAATATTTGCCCGTTTCACAGTCAGCAGCACCACAATCCCCGGCATGCAGTGCAACATAATTTGTGCTGAAACCCCACTCCCAAAGACAATCTATGAGACAGCAGATTTCTACCCAATTGCAAACATCATATCACTAAACACACCAGCTGCAGTTCAGCCAACACAAACACTATAAAACACTCAGCAGCTCAGAAACTGATTAAGAATTAATTAACTTTCAGCAAAGAAAAGATGTCAGGTGTTGAGACCAAGATCCCGCAGGTAATGTAGCCTAAATATAAAAGTATTGACATGTAATATTTGAAGGTTTCTTATAAGTGGCTGTGTCTTGCTGTCAACATTTTGGCATATTAAAATACAAAACCCTGGAATTTGTTGAGAATTTTTAATATGGCCCTTTTAGTGGTTGAGTTTGACGCCCATGGTCTAAGTCATTGTACATAGTGGTGGAATTGGCAGTGTTGGATTGATGGATTGATGGATGGATAGATTGATTGATCCCGGAGGAAACTTAGCAGTCACAAAACACAGGACAGTTATAATAATAAGGGTCATACAATATAAAAAGAAGAATATATACAAAAAAAACTGTCTACAGGCATATATACAACTAGAAATATACAAAAATATGCAATAAGATGCAATACTGAATGTACAAGGAGGCGCAGGTAACAGCATATAATGACACCACTGAATAAATATGTGCAGATATTGGTACTAAAATAAAGTGTCTGGGTGTGGATTGTCCAGATGTGCAAGATGTGCGATAAGGTGTGCTGAGAGCGCAATATGTACAGTAATGTGTCTGTATGTGCAGATAAAATAAAAATAAAAGTGTAATTTAGTATGAGACATTCAGTCCTTATCTCTTCCTTCTTCTCTCCTGACTAGAAATGCCTCTTGGTTGTTATTAGTTGAAGGCAGCTCGTTCTGAGTGGTCTGATGTTGTGTGGCCCACATCATTTGTTTTTTCTTCTGTTTACAGAGAGTGGATTTTTCTTTTTTTTCCTTTAAGCATATATTTCATCGGCAGCTGCCAGAAAATCCAGAGAATTTCTTACTAAAGACATTCCAACCCCTTTAAAGACTGGCCAGCCACAAGTCTAACCCTGCATTGACACCGGCAGCGACGCGACAAGGCGGCCGGAGATCATTCATTTTCAATCAAAGCTGGCGACAGCAGGTGGTGCGAACGTTGGCGATGCGAAGTAGGTGGTTATACAAATAAGGAGCGAACTGACGTGGCGATTACCAATAGGAATTGAGCCGCTTAGTATGCGCTTGATCTCCGCCACTGTAAACCGGTATGCCGTTTTTGGTTCCTAGATAATTGCTCCTACTACAGATTGAGTAATGGCAGCAGTGCTTTCGCCACAAATAGACAGTAACCACAAAGACCAACTACCGTTTTCCTCACAGACTGACTGCACAGACACAGGGATTAAATAAAAATAAGCAAACAAGCGATTCCTCACCAGGACATTTATTTGTAGTGGGAACGCATCTGATTTGTGCTCGGCGTCATTGAAACCATGGCAACCAACGGTCCGCTGGAGTTTAGAAACGCCCTCAGGCGATGAGCGACCAGCGATTTGGGCGTCAAGAGGCGAAAAGTCGCTGCCGGTGTCAACGCAGGATAAGCCGAGTGCTAACAGCCTCTGAAGTGCCACTGCTGTTAATGCAGAATCAGCATTTAATGAAAAATCTGGTTGACGGTCACTTGTTGACTCTAAAGTTGAGCAAGCAGTGGCTAATTATTAACTTAATTTACTGCACACATACATGCAAACTGGTATACCATCATACCTTATGCAGTTCTTTGCCCAGGCTTAGCGTCACACCTGGTGATGCAACGATATGGAATTTCTGGGTTGGTAATGTGGTCGATACCCAATACTGTCCAGTGCTGGTCATTTTTTACGCAAATATCTGCTAATACCGGTATTATTTTTCCCATTTATCAGCAGTTGAGATGTTGGCCACCAATTTGTCATGCACTCTTATCACTACTAGCAGGACTATCCCTCCTCTGTCTCCTCTCATAGCTGTCAACATTCAGAGGCCGTGATATGCAGTGATGTCATGGAGAACGAGAGGCACAGCAGGCCTCAGTTCCAAGTCCAGCTGCACAGCTCTTGACCACACACCACTATCCAAAGCCACAGCTGCTTTGTGTTTTTGAGGTCATGCTCCAGCTCTCCCCACCCCTGCGCTCCACCCCAGGATGATCCCATTGTTGTGTGGCTGGCTCTCCCTAAAATACGTACAGTACTGTGCAAAAGTCAGAGACCACCTTTATTTACTGTTCAAATCAAATGGGACATTAAGTGCGTGTTATTCATTTTTCTGGATATATTTATGAGAAGGTTAGATAGAAGATAATCCACTTGCTTGAGGAAAGGGGAAAGTCAAAGGAATTAAAAAAAAAAAAACAAAACTGGAGTTTTAAAAAATATTAAACGTAAGTCCTGGTGGACCACCAAAACCATCACAAAGTAAGCTTTTGCTTCAGGTCTGGTGATTCTGTCCATCCGTTCACTGTGAGAAGACAGCTCAATGCTATGGGTCTTAAAAGATGTGTAAGAGTCAAGAAGCCTCACTGATAAAGAGACAAAAAAGAAGAAAATTCACAAATTAAGCAAAGAACCTCCTGGTGTTCTCAGAACAATGGACTGGCCACCCCAGAGCCCAGACCTCCACATCTTTGAATGTATTAGGGATTACTAGGATCGTGAGAAGCAGAAAATGCAACCAATATGTAAGACTGATCTTTGGAGCTGTGGAAAAACCTCCCTGCAGATTTCTTTGAAAAACTGAAAGCAAGTCTCCTGAAAAGAATGGAAGCTGTAATAAAAGCAAAGGATGGACATGTAAACCTTTTCAGCATTTAGTATTATATTTAGTTTTTGAGCCTTCTGTGTCTTCTGTGGCCTGATGTATCCACAAGTAGGGGATCTAATTTTCTGTCTTGTTCCAGGGGCCGTATTACAGAAACTTCCTATCTTTTTGTCTTAACAGGTCAAGATAAGATTTTTCATAAACATGTAATCAAGTTAGTTAGCCAGACAGGTAATGTTAGCTACTGTTACTGATGTAAAAAATGGTCACATAAAACTAAAGCGTGATAAACTTTAAGTTAAGAATATTGTGGCAGCGCCCCCTGCTGTTTATCAGAGTGTCGCCGCTCTTCAGTTTCAGTCTCCATTTCCCAAACACTTTAGCCGAGCGCAATAACGTTATTCCTCCTAATAAACACACACGTTCAGCTCTGTCTTCTCATTATTCACCACCATCACTGTAATATAAAATCTAACGAGTTTTTATCGAACATTAACACCCAAATGTCTGAGTTCTTAAAAAAAACGTTTTCAGTGTAGATAACTAGCGTTATTATGCTGGTTATAGTGAGCTGTGCTGCCCATCACTGCACAAAACAATAGAAACAGACGGTTAAAACAGAGGTTAAGACGCTCTGGAGTTTATCTTAAAGTTAAGAAAATATTTAGGATATTTTGGCAACTTAGGATGTTTCTGTAAAACCGTTTTCTTATCTGGAAACAAGATAAGATTATAGACTTAAGACCTGTTGACTTAAGAATTTTCTGTAATATGGCCCCAGGTCTCTGTCCTTACTGTTCCTTCTCTGTCCTTTTAGATTGCTGAGCTGTCTGGTGAAGTGACCCTGCCATGCGTGAATACAAGCTTGTGGTGTTGGGCTCCGGAGGTGTGGGCAAGTCCGCACTGGTGAGTGTTCTACCTAGACTCGGCCCACCTGGGTCTCCAGAGGTCCAGCCTGCAGGCCTGGCTTACAGTTCCTTCAGTGACATGATGCACATCGTATTAATCACCCTGTCTGTGGTTGGATGAGGTTTCATAATGAATTATGAAAGTTATGAAGAATATGACGAAGTGCGTTTTGAAGCCACCGGTGGTCTCAAGGAGTTGAAGAGGTTAAACAATGTTGGTAGGAGTCCAATTTAATCTAATGAGAAATTAAAGTGCAAGACTTGGCAAAAGTAAGTCAATTTAGAGTGTGTTTCAAATTTCTGCTTATTTATTTGCATGTCTGTGAAATGTCCCACTATTCAGATGTATCAGTTGTAGTATTTTTGTTGGTGCTAAATATAATGTTGTTTAAAATCTGCTTGGTTTTAATTAGCCATAACAACTTCATCCAGCTTGGTAGTTGGTGTTGTAGCATTTTATCATGGAAACTTTGTTAATCTCCAATCTAATCAGTTTATTAATGGGATTCTTGCCAGGCTTGTCCAACGTGGCAACAGTTGCTATGAAACAACACATTTGTATGCAGAACATGGATAGATCAGTTGAAAAGTCACACAAATTGAATTAAATGTGAAATTACCCAACAGTCATTATTCAGTTTCAGATGCAATTAAGGGTGTCTGCATAAATGTATATTGAGTGAACCTTATAGGAATTAGAAGGCTTTTATATAAAGCCCCCCCTTTCCCATGGACAGATAAAGCCGTTGCAGTTTGTTTTCTGTTTTGTCTCATTGTGAGGGCCAAAGAAAGGTAAGTGCCAGTAAAACTGGTCAGCATGAGGCTAAATGGTCATAACAAATCAGTCAAAGACAGACAAAACAGTAGGTGTCTCAAACGGTTTGGTATACCGTTAGTATAGCAAACAACCTGGCAACCACACGCTTTCAGCTGGGGAGAAAAACTGTTGAACGGATGTTTTTCGTTAAGAGGAGAATATGCTAGCATGACTCATAGGGCTTACCACAAGATGCAAATGACTGGTAAGTCTAATGAAAAGAAAGGCCAGGTTACAGTTTGTTAAAAAAAAAGACAGACAATTTCTAGAGGTCTGACTCTATGGGCCAGTTTCCCAGATCCAATCTAGACCCAAAAAACAAAACAAAAAAAACTAATATATATATATATATATATATATATATATATATATATATATATATATATATATATATATATATATATATATATACTGTGTGTGTGTGTGTATGTATATGTGTGTGTGTATATATATATATATATATATATATATATATATATATATATATATATATATATATATATATATATATATATATATATATACACATACCTGCTCCACTTTAAAACAATTATTGTATTATTATCATATTAACTTAAAATGTAAACCGGCTGTTTTAGTATTTCAGGTTCACTGAGTGTAACAGTGATGTAAGGAAATGTGCAGAGGACTTTAAGAATTGCATTACTGAAGAATCATCAATTTTCCCCTGTTAAACTGGTTTCTTATTTTGTTTGATTTTTATGGTTTAGTTCATAACGCATGTTTTGTTGATGTGTGAATCTTTATGTTAAATAAAAAAGTAGCGGCACATTTTACATTTTACAAATTCTGAGTGATGATCTGCCAGATTATACAGTTCTACAGTGAACTGCTTTTACATGCCCAGTCAGCGTATCTTCCCATCTGTACCCGTACAGAGTGGAGAAGTAAAAGGGATTCTCTGCTTGTAAATTTCCACCAGGTGCATGATGGGAAATTTTGCAAATAGTGACCCTGCAAGATCTCCAGTCTTTGCAAAATCAACTGTCACATTGTCTTTAGATGTGAGAGGGTGTCAGACTTTAGACTTTTCAAAGTCTTCTGGTTTATGATTAGCATAAGGTTGTTGTTGTTGTTGTTGTTGTTGTTGTTGTTGTTGTTGTTGTTGTTGTTGTTGTTGTTGTTGTTGTTGTTGTTGTTGTTGTTGTTGTTGTTGTTGTTGTTGTTGTTGTTGTTGTTAGATCTGGTTGTTCACTTCCATTCTGTGTGTTTGTATTTCAGACAGTACAGTTTGTCCAGGGAATCTTTGTGGAGAAATATGACCCCACAATAGAAGACTCCTACAGAAAGGTACCGATTGCTTCTCTGTTCTGCTCAGCTTGTATCTCATTTGAGTGGATTCTCTTTGTCCTAAACCTCCTGCTACTCCTTCTTTCAGCAAGTAGAAGTGGACGGGCAGCAGTGCATGTTGGAGATCCTGGATACAGCAGGCACAGTAAGTAGTGTTGAACCTCCTGCAGACTTCTTTCACTGAGAATTAGGCTAATATCTAAAAATAATTGCTATTTTCTAGTTAATAAATTGTGATTATCAATTACTTCACCCCTCACACTATTGGGGCACACACACACTTAAAGGATCCCCAATCTTCCAACATATTTACAAGCTGTTTAATTAGTCCTCTGTAGTTCTCTCTCAGTTCTTTTGCCAAAGATTATTGCCTTCTACGCATCACTGTTGGGTTACTTAAAAGTATTGCCGATATCTGATTACATACACACTCTGCCATCTTCCAAAAAATAGTAAAAATACTGTAAAAATAAACTGTAAACAAAAGCTGCTGCTGGTGTTAGCTGTGTTGAGCGGCTGTAGCTACAGACTAATAACAACAGAAGCACGTTAGGTTTGCTCACATTGATCTCAGTTAAGAATGCGGTTTTGAGAGGAAACACGGAAATAATCCTGGAATAATAGTTTATGCTAAAAATACGTTTTAGACCAAAACTTAATAACAAAACTATCACAAAAAAGTGTCTCAGGTATCAAGCAACGCATTCATAACCATTTTTGTAATAACTCAACGGGATGTAGCTTCTGGAGCCATTAAACGCATCGGACATCTGGTTCCTAGTACTATAATGGTGAACAATTTGCACTCTGTAAATTTATCTAGAAAGGTGCATTTCACACCAAACCACTTTTGTTTACATCTAAGCCATTGAATGATTAAGTAATTTTGCAAAATCAGTGGAGTTCCCCTTTACATTTTTCCAAGACTACTGTCATTAAATTAGAGTCAGAGAGAAAATCACTCATTTGTCATTTTCTTTTCCTGAAACAGGAGCAGTTCACAGCAATGAGGGATCTGTACATGAAGAATGGTCAGGGATTTGCTCTCGTATACTCCATCACAGCACAGTCCACCTTCAATGACCTGCAGGATCTACGAGAGCAGATCCTACGAGTAAAGGACACTGAAGATGTAAGTGTCTGAGGGAGCTCTTTAATAGGGGTGTGAATCTCTGACTTCACTTCAGTTTGAATAGGAGTATTTTCTTTTAAATTTCATCACAATTTAATTAATTATTTTGATATGAGATCAGATTTTTTGGTAAAAATGCATAGCATACACAAATTCAACTAGAGGACATATTTACACAATAGTAGAATATAGACAACTAAAACAAAATCACGAAAAATGTTTGTTTTATTTTGCTCAAACACAAATAAAATCAGACACAGATGCCATAGCTTAACACTCCATGTGCCCAGCCCACTGCCTGGAGCAAGCATGAACCCCCCCTCCACTGTTCCCTGGGCTGTGCCACTCAGGGGATGCCCTTTTTTGGACATGTGTGAAGGGAATGCACTGAGCCCAGGATAAAGCCCCTGGCCCAGGGGAGCGTGGCCTGGAGCAGTTAGAGGCGTTGGAATTTGTTATGATTGGCCTTTTCACCGCCTGCCGCACTTCCTCTTTCCTCATGCTAGCTCTGCGGCTTGGCCTGAGTTTAGAGCTGCATTATATCCCATCCTCAGCAAAGGTCCAAACCCATTGAAAAAAGAAATGGAGCAAGAAAAAATTGAATTTTTTAAAGCCTAGGAGCTCAGTGGAAAGTGGGCAATGTGATATCATTATTATGGTAAATTATGTCACTTTTTTGACCATTTTTTTAAAAGAAAATTTCTTAGAACAATGCTGAACAAAAGCAAATCATGAGAAAGAAAGATTTCTATTACTTAGAGATCCTGTTAATAGCAACAGCCAGTGTATAGATAATGCATAATAACTGTTGCTGATTGCATATAGTCATTATCTCACTTTTAATGACTTTTTACCAATTGTTTCATTGTTTTAAATAGTTTACTTTTGCAAACACTGAATTAAAATCATTTTTATAGCTTTTTTTTCTTTTTTAATGAGGCGACTGGTTCACTGGAAAATTTAGTCCATTTCAACTTACATGCAAACCTTATAAAATCGTATAAAAATGTATGTCTTGTGCAGTAAAAATGTCTTAAATTACCTATTTCTGCCATATTGCACACCTTCAGTGGAAAGGAATACACAGATTACACACAAGTCAACATTGTTTTTTCTAAGAGGCTCATTTGCTTGAAGATTTATGTGCTTATAGCCAGCAGTCAATAACTGCCTGACAGCAAATTATGGCTTAAAGGTGGAGCTGTGTAAACATTGCCGGCATTCTCTCCATGCTTGCTGTTTTCGTCCAGCCCCAGGCCCACGTATTTGGTACTGTACAGTGTGAACTGTGTCACAGCATTCATTCCTCCTGCTCTGCTCTTTAGAGCTACAGTGCTGTAATATGTGCTATAGCTCTGTCAGCGTCCCCTGGGGAACTGCACTGGGCTTCCTGGCCCAGACCTGTTTGGATTTGAAACATTCTCCACACGGCCAGTCCAAACACGACTGGCACCCCGTTGCTCGGCCTGTGGTCCAATAGCTATGGGGGTTGTGGAAGGGAGGACAGAGAGAAGGAGAGGCTGTGGAGAGGGAAGATAAACATTTTAGCATCCTGTGGACTCTTGAGGCTGCAGTTGGACCTTTGCTGGCTGTATGGAGCGTCCTTCTTCTGTTCCACAATAGGTGGCATCTTTTTAATGCTAGGCTTTTAAGAAGAGTTCATAATAGTTTGGATTCTGTTCTCCAATGTTGAGGCAAACCAGCTTTGTTTCTGTTACTTTAAGGCACGCTGCTGGTTTGTAAACACCTCACCCCTGTGGTTAATGGTCTAGTGTTGCTTCTTGTTAAACTTAAGCCCAATCCCATTTCACCCCTCTGCCCCTACCACTTAGCCGTTAACCCTAGGGGTAGGGTGTCCTGATTTTTGTTGAGATAGAGGGTTAGGGCGAAGTGTTTGGGCTACCTGGCCCTACAAATGGAGGTTTTTCAAAGACATGCTATAGACGTAGTGTTGTGAGGAAAAAAAGAAAAACTGGCAAGATGGCTGAACAAGAGACCAAAGAAACCCACAAACGTGAGAATTTTCTCCATTAAAAATTATGATAACCATCATATTGTCTTAGTTTAATGTCGTATCAATGTATTATGGTCCTTTTCTTCATAACAAGCATTAAAAAATCGCTTACAGTAGGCTGATGTCTCAGTAGCCCGCTAGCTAAATTTTCGATTCCATCTTAAATGATGCAGCAATTACATTCTGGCACCTCCATTTAAGGCGAATATCTGACTTCAGCTTCATATCACTGAAGAATTAGGGGTGGGTGATAATAAATAATTGCCCCCCTCTTTGAAGGCATATGATTCCCTAAATGTAACTAAAGCCCAGCAGTGAGAAGCTGAACTTTATCCTCTTCTGCTATCACTGCAGACTGGCAGTCATATTGCCCGCTCCCATTCATGTCAATCACTTAACATTAAGCCTTAAAACATTAAACATTAATATCTAATACCTAATTCTAAAATCATAGAATCCATTTTTTTTTTAAATTCACCTGAATTCTTAGCTATTTATCAATCAATCAATCAATCAATAATCAGACAATCAACCTTTATTTAACCTTGGAGATCATTGAGGGTGACCCGCATTTACAGTTTTGCCAAGTTCAACATATCAAATAATAAAAGTAAATTTAATAAAAAAGATTTAAATCAGGTATTAAAAAAATAAACAATAAAAATACAGTAGAAAATATAAAACAATAATTAAAATGTAGCTAAAATGTAAAAGTTAATAAAATCAAATCAAGATAAAACAAAAGAAGGATAAGATCGAAAAGTAAACAAAAAATTAATTAAAATGACTAAAATAATAATAAAGTAATCGTAATTGGGGGCAGTAGTGGGCTGGAGGTTAGGGAAGCAGCCCTGTGACTGGAAGGTTGCTGGTTTGATCCCCTGAGCAGACAGTCTGTCACTGAGGTGCCCTTGAGCAAGGCACCTAACCCTCAACTGCTCCCCGGGCGCTGTGGATAGGGCTGCCCACTGCTCCGGGCAAGTGTGCTCACTGCCCCCTAGTGTGTGTCTTCACTGGTGTGTATGTGGTGTTTCATTATATTTCCTCATTGTGGGACTAATAAGGGTCACTTATTCTTAATAATTAAAATAAGAATATGAATAATAATAAATAAACAATAAAATAATGAAAATAAGACAATAATAGTAAAAAAATCAGGTGAAACAGGTGCAGGAAGATATTTTCATATCAGGTCCTAAACAATATACTCTGCCTGCTTCTCTCATGTTTTTAATCATTAGTTATCACTACTGCAAAAGTACTGCAAGTCAAAATGGGCTGTGTTGATTGTGTCTATGAACAATAGAGCGTTAATGTTGAATATTATGAATTGTGTTTCAACTTGAAACCTGTTTAGCTTTATTATGCGTGTCCTGCTTATCCTCTCACACACATGGAGACAGACGTCATTCCACCCAGTAGCTGCTGCATGGAAATCAGAGTTAACATGCAGACAGGAAGGAGATTTTATCCTGCATGGGCGGGGCTGAAAATGTTTCCTTTTTCCCTCCTCGCTAAACGTTGCTCGTACAGTTTACACACACAGCCTTCGCAGTCTAGCTTCAACACACTTATCCGGTCCTTAGCTTAGCAGTAGCACATATTCAGTTCACAGTGAGGTCGGCTTCATTAAGGACTCATTCCAGTGTGTTTATGCCACATTCTGAAATTCATTCATTTCCCTACAGCAATATAATATATACACCGATCAGCTCCACTTACTATATAGGTGCACTTTGTAGTTCTACAGTTACAGACTGTAGTCCATCTGTTTCTCTGATACTTTGTTAGCCCCCTTTTACCCTGTTCTTCAGTGGTCAGGACCCCCATGGACCCTCACAGAGCAGGTACTATTTGGGTGGTGGATCATTCTCAGCACTGCAGTAACACTGACGTGGTGGTGGTGTGTTAGTGTGTGTTGTGCTGGTCTGAGTGGATCAGACACAGCAGTGTTGCTGGAGTTTTTGAACACTTCAGTGTCACTGCTGGACTGAGAATAGTCCACCAACCAAAAATATCCAGCCAACAGCGTCCTGTGGGCAGCGTCCTGTGACCACTGATGAAGGACTAGAGGATGACCAACACGAACTGTGCAGCAGCAGATGAGCTATCGTCTCTGACTTTACATCTACAAGGTGGACTGACAAGGTAGGAGTGTCTAATAGAGTGGACAGTGAGTGGACACAGTGTTTTAAACTCCAGCAGCACTGCTGTGTCTGATCCACTTGCACCAGCGCAACACACACTAAGACACCACCACCATGTCAGTGTTACTGCAGTGCTGAGAATGATCCACCACCCAAATGGTACCTGCTCTGTGAGGGTCCATGGGGGTCCTGACCACTGAAGAACAGGGTAAAAGGTGGCTAACAAAGTATGCAGAGAAACAGATGGACTACAGTCTGTAACTGTAGAACTACAAAGTGCACCTATATAGTAAGTGGAGCTGATAAAATGGACAGTGAGTGTAGAAACAAGGAGGTGCTCATAATGTTATGCCTGATCAGTGTACTTCTTCAATCTACAGGCCCTGCAAAACACATCTGCTCCACAAAGTGTGCCATCGCCTTATAGCACCCTGACGTATAACCTTAAGTCTCTTTGGTGTTTTGGGTCATCAGCTGCTTATCCAGTGCCAAACCTAAGCAGGCTGTGAGCCCCACCATGCATTATTGATCTGTATTTTTAGAGGATGCATTGGCTTTGTTCACACAGCATGTAAAAGTGGCCCAAATCTGATCTTTTTCTTCATGTGTGACACAGATGTGTGTCTGTGTGTCAGTGTGAACAGATAAACACACTGAATCTGACATTTTCAATTCTGATTTGAGACGCTTTCATATGTGGTACTGAAATCCGATATATATCAGATCTGCGGCAATTCGACTCAGTCTGCACAGCCAGATCGGAATTCATGTGGTTTTTACGTCAATCCAACTCCACATTCGTCATAATTCCTCATAAACATTTAGGCTGATATTCCTGTACAAAAAATTAGAAGAGACTCATCACAATCGCTCAGTGTTCGAAGAGATTTCTAAAGAAAGGTCCGAACGCGGCCGCAGGAGAACGAGGCTGCAGCGTCAAAGAACAGTTTAAAGAATCCGAGGACGCGAACCAAAGAAGTGACCGCGCCCTTTTTATGGTGAACTGAACACGTTCTGGGTGATGAGCCCAGCTGTCAGTCAGTGAAGCTTCATGATGGCTCCTGTGATGCTGGTGAAGATGAAGCTGATCCTCCGGGAGAGACTGGCGTTCGTTGGCGGTCGTGTTTGTTTACCTCTGGATGAGCCGTGAAGCTCTGTTCTTTTGCGCATGTGGGTCAGTTTAGGAGCTGATCTGTTCAGACTGATGTCACATACAGATCACATTTAAAAGACAATCTCAACAGCCAAGCAAAAAAAATCAGATTTGGTGAGAAAATCAGATTTGGGCCACTTTTACCTGCTGTGTGAATGTAGCCATAGATTTCGTAATTCGCTCCCACGATTAATAATTTGTTCTCTCGTGTTCTTTTAATCGTGGTCATGTTTTCTTTTTAATTGAATGCACATTGTTTTTTTGCTGTTGTGCACAAATAAACTAAATGTAGTAGATACAGGCCGCTAACAGCTCCCTGAGACTGTCTGACGGGTTTTGATGCGTTAGATTGATGAGATGATGGACAGAGATGCTCATTAGGGTTGATTTTGATTTGAGGACACTGTAGTTCCTCTTCACAGTAAACGGCCCACAGATTCATCAGTGCAGCTACAGTTCATGCAGTTAATGAATAATGTGCCTTAGGATTTGGGCTTGTAAATTCAGATGGAAAAACCAAAATATACCCTGGAGAATAACTGGTTAAGTAGAAGAGGTGATAATTTATGATTTGAATTTGATGGAAAATTGTCATGCATGCGGTCTTGTTTTGCAGAAAGAAAAAAAAATTACATGTTTACCTTGTTTTTGTTATTTGTTCACAACAACAACAACAAAAAAAAAACTAAATTGGAAGTGCAGACAAAAACCTTTTGGTACAGAAAGTAAATTAAGTGTGATTGTAACATAACTGTATAGTAATGCAATTGGAAAATGATGGCAACAGTTGCCTTGGTGTGACAGCTGGCACAGTACCGCCTGTAAAGGAGGCTAAATCTTTTTAATCTCTCATTAATTACAGAGCCTGCACATTAATTAGCCCACGGACGTACTGAAGAGGGGAGATAATATATGTTCATGGTCTTCTGTTTCTTAACTCACTTATAATTGTTGAGGTTCATCACCAGACAGGAAACAGATAACTGGCTCATGCAGCGTTGTCTAACTTATTGTCTCCATCTCTCTGGGTCTCCGTCTCAGGTGCCGATGATCCTGGTTGGTAATAAGTGTGATCTGGAGGATGAGCGAGTGGTGGGGAAGGAGCAGGGTCAGAATCTGGCCCGCCAGTGGAACAGCTGTGCCTTTTTAGAGTCTTCCGCCAAATCAAAGATCAATGTCCTTGACGTAAGCATGTACTAGTACATAAGAATGAGTACATATATACATATATAGTACAAATATAATGTGTGTACTATTTACTCATATGTATCTGTTTAGTTCTTTCATGATCTGTTTCGAGATCTGGTTCTACTTAATGTCTTTCGTAACCATCTTGTGTAATTTTCTCTTCCTATAGATCTTTTATGACTTGGTCAGACAGATAAATAGAAAAACACCTGTGGAAAAGAAGAAAGCGAAAAAGAAATCCAACTGTGCGCTTCTGTAGAGTCCCCTCCCTACAGCAGCTCTGAGCTCGGTACGTTTATTTATCACTCCAGTTTTCAGGGATAGGTCTCCCTCTAGAGGTCAGCATGTGCTACTAACAGTCCTTTTTAGGACCCTGCATGCTGGTGCCATGTGCAGTCAGAGGCATAGACCACTATAGTCGTGCGTCATTCTGTAGTCCTAGTTATGCCCATATTAGGGTCTAAGCTCCATTTCTCTATGGCCAGAATGAATGGGGCTTTTGAAAAATCGCCTCTGTCGCCCCCTATGTTGAATAAAATGTTTTGAAACTGTATGCAGAGGTGCAAATTTGGTATTAGAAGTGGGGTGGACCACTGTTGGGAAGCTGAAGCCAACAGCAATTCGAATGTACAACTAGTCTTTTTCAGTTTTTGACATAATTTGAAAATGCCTGTTGCCCTTTAGATTGTGTGTAAATTTCATGATGAATGGACCAAAAGAAACGACCCAAAATGACTTGGGAAAAATTCTGGTTCCACTGACTTTTTTGCACTGACCACTGGTTTTTTCCTTCTCCTGTAAAGTTACCGTTTGGGAGATACGAGGTTTTGTTCCGACAACAGCATTTTATGTGTGTGTGTGTGTGTGTATATTTATACACACGCGTGTGAAAACAAAGAAAAACAATCATTATGGTAAGATAATCTAAAGAATAATGCTGTGTATTTTCTGATACATTGTCAGTACATCAGTTTCTCGTCCTTTACAGAGGCAAGTTTTTGTCACTAAAAAAACGATTTGTCTGATATGCATATTTGCATATTTACATGCTTTAGAAAAATACTTCAATAATGATAAACGTTTATAAGAGGACGAAAGAAAAGACTGTAAATTAATGTCTTAACTTGATTACAAGTTACAATGATTACAGCAAATACCTGTTGCAACCCATTAAATTTAGGAGCACAGCTGGTCAGCGCGCTTTATAGGAGAAGCAGAAAACCTTCTTTGCTTTTAATGTAAGTCAGTGGAACCAGAATTTTTTACAAGTCATTCTGGGCCGTTTCTTTTGGTCCCTTGTTTATGAAAATTACACAGAGTGTAAAGAGCAACAGGCATTTTTGAATCAAAGGTCAAAAGCTGAAAAACTGCAAAAATGGAGATATGAGGTTTTGTTCTGACAGCAGTGATATATTCTCATGTTCTTTGTCTGCCAGGAGAACGCTGTAATGAAGAACTCCTGCCCCATTTGGAATGTGCCAGCATTGCCATCCTCAGTGAGTGGAGCTATGGACCAGCTGACTGACGAACCTGAAGAAGAACAGGATACACAAAGAGGGAACACGAGGAGTCATTTCCGTTTGATTCCAGAAAATCTGAGGAGAAACTTTCATTTAGCACAGTTTGAGTAGAACTCATTTTCAGTATTCCTCAGGAACACTCGAGCAAAATATCTTCCATAAATCCGACCGGAAAATCGCATCATTTCATTTCAAGAACCAACACCGTTTCAGCAACGGGAAACAATAAAATTACCCACAAACACCATCGGACAGTTACAACAATACAAGAGATACATATGAAGACAATGTTTGAATCCTGCATACAGCATCAGGGCAAGTAGGAAGAAGGAGATACAGGACTGTGACATAAGCCCGTAATTTGGTACCATGACATTTCAGTAGTGAACTGAATTTCACTGAAGATTAAAAGCTTTTCTCACACTTCCAACTGAACCCATCATGTTGCCATGGCTTCGTACCCTCTTCAGGACGGGTGGATAAAAGAGAAGAAATCAAAGAAGTTTTACCAGTGTTTCTTATTTCCAGTGTGGCTTGTTTGAGGAAATGGAAATTGACTTAATTTGTATTATTATAGACACCCTAAAGGCAAACAGCATGACCACATCTTTTGATTTAAACGTAGATGTTGTTAACGAAAGCAAGTGAAAGTGTTGCCTCTCAGAGTTTCCATTCTTGACATCCACTGTGTAAATGTTTATAGACTGAGCTGACATTAGCTGTATATAAACACTGTTCTCCCGTTTACATCCATGGACATTTTCAACCGGATCTTGACCCCTAACCTGTGACTATTTTGTATTTAGTCACTTGGCTTTCGTAGCTCCATAGCATATTCTAATACTCTTTTGGACATGTAAACTATGGGCCTTTTTATAGTGATAAAAGACTGATTACTAGGTCTCTCGAGGTTTAAATATATTGTACTATATCTCCTCTATCGCTTCTCATGCGTTTCTGTCGAAGGATGTTCTGGCTTTTATGGTTGATTAAATTTTAGTACGTTTTCATTATATCCGATGGTTTGTATTAACTTTCATTCAGAGTTTAACCTCTTATTCTCCAGGGTATATTTTGGTTTGTCTATCTGAATTTACATGACCAAATCGTAAGGCAAATTATTCAGTAACTGCATGAAATAAATGTACATTTTTATTTATTTATTTTTTGTAAAAGCTCCCCTCAAATTAACAGAACGTGTTTTATGATCACACATATTGCTATATGCTTACAATTTACTGCTGAAAGCCAAAAATCTTAGACGCTCTTTGTATTATTTTATAAAAATAATGTTTACAGAGCAGATCACTGAAGAGACGCCATCTGTTTATAGTTTATAGCCCAGATTTGTGGAAAAATGGGTCGACTTTCAGTAGAAAAAAGAAAAAACAAAAAATTGTGAGTTCAGCTTCTTTTATTATAAGGGTTTAAAATGACATCACCCGTCTATTTGACTGGAAAGAAGACAGTTACAGCTCTCATACGACCCCCACCTTTAGAATGTAGCTTATGAAATATGAAATGAAGAATATGACAGTGCGTTTTGGAACCACCGGTGGTCTCAAGGAGTTGAAGAGGTTAATCTTATTCGACTGTATGAAATTTAATAAGCACTGACAGTCATCAATGGTTAGAGCCAAATGTTGCAAAAGGCTGGCAATATCACTGTCCTAAAAACACCCTGACCTCCGCAGCCTTATTTATCTATTCTTCGCTTCTAAAATCAGAACCTATAGCAACATGAAATAGCCGGCACTGGTTCACCTGCTCTATAGCTGTAGCTAGAAGTCATACTTTTCACAGACAGATGTAAATTATTACCACTACTGTAATCAGAAGTTGACTGATTATAAGTCGTGTCCCCTCCAAAATCTTTCAAGACTTTACTGACCTCTTTTGTAAGTGACTTGGTTTTGAGGGCAGTTATTAACTGGGTGTTTTCATATCTGTTCAGAAATAAATGTGTTAATATTGTATAAGCAAACATTTACAAATACACCGAATGAACCCCGCCCCCGCAAAGATGATGCTCCTTGATCAGGGCTGTCAAACTCAACAACTAAAGGGGCCGTATTAAAAAACCTCAGCGTATCTGTGGGCCAGAGAAAAAATGAGTTTATTTCATTTTTAATCAATGTTGTGCTGTAACCCAAACTGGCCATTGTGTATTCAAAGTATGCAAAAACTTCAGCAGTAAAATACAGACAGACCTTGAAATATTACATGAATACTTGAAATATTCCAAGTTTAAATGTCCCGAGGAGCTCGGCCTTTTAAACCTACCTATTTGCTTGAACTAAACACCTGATCTTTTCTTTGCTGCAAGCTCATTAATGCTTGGGCTCGATTTCTAAACTGTGACAGGATGACAGGTGTGCTATTGTGTAGAATTGAGGTGGAACCTCTGTCCCATAGACTGTTGTTGGAGTAGGAGAGTCAGAGCACATCACATTGCAGTGCATGCTGGGGACTGTAGTCCAGCACATTGTGAACATGTAGCACTATGTTTTTACTGCCCATAATTTTGAGCAACAATAAGTAACAGCCTAAGCAATAACTAAAATTTAGTGATGTAATTAGAAATACACTATATTGCCAAAAGTATTCACTCACCCATCCAAATCGCTGAATTCAGGTGTTCCAATCACTTCCATGGCCACAGGTGTATAAAACCGAGCACCTAGGCCTGCAGACTGCTTCTACAGACATTAGTGAAAGAATGTGTCGCTCTCAGGAGCTCAGTGAATTCCAGCGTGGTACCGTGATCGGATGCCACCTGTCCAGTCGTGAAATTTCCTCACTACTAAATATTCCACAGTCAGCTGTCAGTGGTATTATAACAAAGTGGAAGCGATTGGGAACGACAGCAACTCAGCCACGAAGTGGTCAGCCAGGTAAAATGACAGAGCGGGGTCAGTGGATGCTGAGGCACATAGAGCACAGAGGTCACCAACTTTCTGCAGAGTCAATCGCTACAGACCTCCAAACTTAATGTGGCCTTCAGATTAGCTCAAGAACAGCGTAGAGAGCTTCATGAATGGGTTTCCATGGCTGAGCAGCTGCATCCAAGCCTTACATCACCAAGCGCAATGCAAAGCGTGGAATGCCGTGGTGTAAAGCGCTGCCTCTGGACTCTAGAGACGTGGAGACGTGTTCTCTGGAGTGACCAATCACGCTTCTCCGTCTGGCAATCTGATGGACGAGTCTGGGTTTGGCGGTTGCCAGGAGACGGTACTTGTCTGACTGCATTGTGCCAAGTGTAAAGTTTGGTGGAGGGGGGATTATGGTGTGGGTTTGTTTTTCAGGAGTTGGGCTCGGCCCCTTAGTTCCAGTGAAAGGAGCTCTTAATGCTTCAGCACCAAGAGATTTTGGACAATTTCATGCTCCCAACTTTGTGGGAACAGTTTGGGGACGGCCCCTTCCTGTTCCAACATGACTGCGCACAAAGAAATGTCCATAAAGACATGGGTGAGCAAGTTTGGTGTGGAAGAACTTGACTGGCCTGCACAGAGTCCTGACCTCAACCTGACAGAACACCTTTGGGATGAATTAGAGTGGAGTCTGCGAGCCAGGCCTTCTCGTCCAACATCAGTGTCTGACCTCACAAAAGCGCTTCTGGAAGAAGGTAAAAAATTCCCATAAACACTCCTAAACCTTGTGGAAAGCCTTCCCAGAACAGAGTTGAAGCTGTTATAGCTGCAAAGGGTGAGTCGACATCATATTAAACCCTATGGATTAAGAATGGGACGTCACTCGAGTTCATATGCGTGTGAAGGCAGACGAGCGAATACTTTTGGCAATATAGTGTATGTAAATTAACGTTAAAGCTTTTCAGTCTCCAGCATCATTTAACCAGTTCAACATTGTAACGTTAGTTCATGAGACGAGCGATGTGTGAAAAGGTTTCCAGAACAAGCAGATTGTGTTTTTCATGTAAAAACTATGTTTACAAAATTAGTTATATTTGAAGCTAATTAACCAGGTACTAGTTAGCCAGCTATCGTATGTAACTCTGTGACAGAACGAGCTACTAACAGAAACTGATACGGCTTAGAAAATTCCAGTGACTAACATCAGCTAACCATTGTAACATGAGCTAGTGATGTTTGTAAGGGTGGTAGTAGTAGTTCTGGTTGTCAGAACACCAGCACGGAGGGAAATCTACCATTTACTGACCAATCTGCTGCTTCCGAAACGATGCCGGCACGATTTCCAGCGGTCGAAGGTGAGTTTGTGCTTCCATGGAAAGCGAAGTCACACTTGCATGTCGCTGTTGTCGGAACAAAACCTCATATCTCACAAAGTTATAATTGGAATATAGTTGGAATAGACACTCCCAAAATTATACGCTGCACTGACGTTGAACCGTATGCTTGTACTGGGTCGGTATGACCAACAGGTCAAAACAAGCTCAAAACAAAGTGACCGCTGTGCCCTGATTGGTGTTCTTGTTTTGCGCTTCTTTCGTTTTGACATTTTATATTTTTATACTCACATAAACCAAAAGGAGCGACAGATTTCTCATAATGTGGTGGGGTAAAAAGTGAGATATTTGACTCTGAAATGTAGTGGAGTGAAAGTAAAAAGTGGCCCAAAATGGAAAAACTTCAGTACAGATACACGAAAAAAACTACTTAAGTACAGAAACGAATTACATTTACTTCGTTACTGTCCACCACTGGAAAATCAACACTGTGGACAGGCTTGCCAGTAATGTGCAGGACTGGATGTCGCAGCATTTTCTACAATTCAATCGAGAAAAAACTGAAACACTAATTCCTCAGACTAAAGGACACAGAAAGCTGCTTTGTAAGAAACAAGGCCCCTAGTATGAAACCTGGGTGTAATCTTAGATTTGACTAAAGTAGCTTTTTATCGTTTTAGAAATATTGCTGAAGTTTAGCCTTTTCTATCCCAGAGTGATGCAGAGAAACACGTTTATGCATTTGTCACAAGTAGACCTGATTACTGGACCAAGAAAACAAAACATCCTCTGGAAAGTCACCCCGGTTCTGAAAGAACTGCGCTGTCTACCTGTATCTTTTAAAATAGATTTCAAAGTTGTTTTACTTGTTTTTAAAGTTCTAAATGGCCTTAAATCACCTGCTTTCCTCACAGAATGTCCAGTACATGATCTTAGATCTGCAGATAGTGGACTTCTGCAAACACCTGCAAATACCTTACAAGAAACATTTGAAAACATATCTCGTTTATTGTAATGAATTAAAAAATGATCAATAATTTGATGTTTTTTTTATTTTGTTTTTATCTTTTTAAATCCCATATTTAATCTCATAACTCTTAACATGTATTATATTTCATTTATTATTTCTGTGTTTCTTTTATTACTGTCACTGAACTTTATCACCTGTCTTTAAAGCACTATGAGCTGCTATCTGTGTGAAAAGTGCTAAAGTTATAAATAAAGTCCTTTACCACCAGTGGGCACCAGGTGGCAGTGTCTGTTCAGCTTTTTAATTCAAACATGGAGCTGGTCAACATCTGTGAGTCTACTTCACATGGTGTAGCATTTAATGTATAATTTAATGTAAATGATCTTGAATGGTTGCTTACTTTAAACATAGCCGTTCGTACAGCTCACTGACGCCTTCTGTGCTATAAAGTGTCAACTGAAGCTCATGAAACATCCCACTATCAGAGACGGACAGCCATTCTTCCTTGTCTTTGGCGTCTGTGTACTTCTTCCTGAAGGAAGTGATGAGAACTCCAGATTAATCCATAATGAATCCCCCCCCCCACCCCCCCACCCCAATTCCAGATGTAATCAGTCAGCCAAGACAAGTTTGCTTACTTGGTTTTGCATTGGAGCTGTGAGGCCAATGT